ACATGTTCCATATGTAAAGCTCCAGTTCCATTCACATTTCCATCTCCTTCAACTTGACCAACATCATTAAGTGCAAATATCTTAACAATTGAAAACCTCTTGTACATTTCAAACATGTCTAAAACACCTTTATCACCTTGCATCAGTATAGTAGTTCCATCATTGGGATTTCTATAGTACACTGGACTTCTAGGATTAACACCAATAATTTTCAACATTCCCTCAATCTCTATGTAAGACATCAAATCAGGATCAATATCATCATAACAATGCCATAAACATAATTCCACTTCTTATCAAAATAACCAGAATGATGAAGTTCTACTCTATAATACTTGTTCACGTGCTCCATACACTGTCAACAGGGACATGCATTATAACATACAATCCACAAAAATTGAATATACCACTAAACATATGAGTGCATGCATATATCAACAAAACACTGATGATATGAATACATTGTCAACAAGGACATTCATTATAACACACAATCCAAAATAAATCAATATCCATAACTGCATGCATATACCAACCAAATTAATGTTCAAAAAAACCTAATCACATTTTACATAACCCTAATCAGGAAACACAAAACCATAATCAGATTTAAAAAAATCCTAATCCGTTAAAAACAAAACCCTAATCAGATATTTAAAAACCCTAATTCCTTAAAAAAAAACCTAATCAGATTATAAAAAAAACCATTATCAACTTTTTAAAAACCCTAATCCAATTAAAAAAACCCCTTATCAGATTTTAAAAACCCCTTTCATCAACATTAATCGCACATGCCAACATACTAGGCCGTCAAATTTGGTTGTTTATAGTAAACCCTTACTTTTTAACAGAAATTTAAGGACCCACAGACCATTAAGGAAAGAAGTGGTCCACTCCATTATTAAAGAACTGAATTTTTTTTCTGAAAAACAAGCCCGACAATAAGAATCTTGACTTTACAAGCCACAAACAAACAAAAATTAATCTTACACAACCGACATAATCAAAATCAAACAAATAAAAGCCCTAGCTTTTGGATACATATCATTATAAGAGTTTCAAAGCAAAGCCCTTCTATCACTAAAAACTGTACTCAATTTCAATTACCAAGCTATAAGCAAAGATAAAAGCCACAACTTTTACTTAAAAAAACAAAAAAAAAAAAAAAAAAAAACAAACAAACATGAAGAGGAAATGACAACAACAACTATAACTGAATTATTAAGGTTAATTCTCAATTTTTTAAAAGTGAAATTTTAATAATTTAAATCACAATGAGGACAAATTGGGTGAGTGTCATCTTTGTCAAGACAAAAGACAAAAGACAAAAGATATATTTTTTTTGTTTTGAAACAAATTGCAATTTTTTCCTTATATCGGATATATATTGGAAAGGTTTCTTAATTAAGAAAGTTGACTATGTAAATAAGAATGTCATTTATATTGAGAAATGATATTCACACTACACTACTACTCTTTTTCCTTTTTTTTTTTTGGTAAAGAAACAACACGAACTTACAAAAAAAACTAGTTATTATTTTTAAAAATTGATCATAGACTTGAGATAAAAGGAGACCAAATTAATTGGTTTAGATGGTTGATCATATGAAATAAAAATGAAGAGTTTTAATAACGATTCACATGCTAGAAAGGGTAGGTCAAATTTAATCTAATTTTTTATTATTTTGTAGAAAGTGAAATGACAATGGGACTTTTCCTTCAAATGTAAATTTTTAAAAAACAAGAGTCAAATGACTCAAAAAATAATAATTATTAAATTTTTATTTATTTTTTATTTTTAAAGTTTGGGCATGCCACATATATTAAATCTTTTAAGCCTAAGAATCTTTTTCCAATCTTTTAACTATTTTGTGACCCATAACATGAATATAGGAGATCTTTTTCAAAGAATTTTAAAAATTTTAGGGGGCATTTTTTTTTTAATGATTCCTGATAGTGTAAGGATTGGTGAAGTTGACCTGTTGTTGGGATCTGGGTTAAGGCTGATTCTCCCATTTTTAGTGGACTATACAGTTTTTGTGATTTATTTTTATTTGTTTTTATTTTTTATTCTTTTCTGAATAGTGCACTGTTCATTGCTTTCACTAAATAATAAAGTTTGTACTGTTTTTGTTTCATGTTTCATTGTTTCTTATTTCTAAAAGGCCAAAAAATAAAATTAGGTAAGATGAATATGTTTAATAACCTTATTTTTGTTTTTAAATTTTGGAAATATATTTATAAAAAGTTCAATTTTTTAGAACAAAAAAAAGTTGTTTTTACTTGTCTCCAACCAAAATACAGAAAACATATTCTTAACTTATTTCTAATTTATGCGCATCAATAAACATGTTCGTTTATATTTCTCTCCTTTCACTCTATTCTCTCTGTTCTTCTTCTTTACAATCTATGGGTAAGACAAAGGACAACCCATACTCTATTCTCTCTCTTCTTCTTCTTTATGATTTCTGCGTGAGACCCTCGTTTCTGCAAAGGACAATCAATACATGATAAAATATTTTATCTCCTGCAGATTGAAATTGTAAAAATTTATAAAGACAACAAAGCCCCAATCCATTTCGATTCTCATGAATTGTTATTCCTTGTAATATCGATGTGTATATATATATATATATATAGGTGCAGGTATGCAGAGAGACTGATGGTTGCGTTTTTAGGAGGTAAATGAATATGAATTTTCTCTTTAAATTGGTTTCACTTCATTACTTTATCCTGTTTTCATCATTCATCACTCAACTCAATTACCAACTGTCAATTCAAGAAACCCCAGCAGAAAACTCAATTGTTATTATATGTGAGGAATATATTAATTAATGGGATTTATATATTTTTATATGAATAATTTTTATTTTTATTTATTTATTGGTAAAAGCTTACCAATCATGTTTCTGATTTACCATTTATAAAATTCAAGAAATAAATAAATGTTATCAAACACGTAATTGTTTTTAAAAAATTGCCAAAAAAATAGGAACACTTAGAAACAGAAATAGAAAATAAGAAACACATAAACGTAATTTGTATATATGTTGTTTTCAGTCCCCTGTCACGTTTTGTAACTCATCGATCCAATGGTACGAGCTAAGGAGAAATACGTTAATTTTGATCATATTGATAATATAGTATCAGCAATTAATTAAATATGAATGCATAGTGATGGAATTCACTAAATACATACATACATACATATATATATATATATATATAGATATATTATATGATAGAATATAAATGGTTAATGATTCCAACGACGTGACATCATCGATGTAGGAAAGTCTTGGACAACACCATCCACTAATACAATTTGCAAAATTAATGTTGTTTCATAATTTCATGTATATTTGTCAATTAGTTTGGTTTGACTTTTTAGCATGTCAATCATATTATTTTTAAGATTTTTGTTATATTTTATTACTTTTTCACATATGAAAATTTTCAAAAAACTAAAAAAAAATAAAAAATCTTATTTTCAGAAGGCAACACAAATTGAATCACTACATTAATTCGGTTTGTCTAAAAATAAGCACATAATTTAATCTTGAATTGGACTTCTTTTAAGTAATAAAAGAGAGTTGAGTTTGTCACAATTATGATGGAGAGGAAAAGAAGTACGTGCTTTAATTAGTAGGTGAAAGAAGATAAATGAGATAATAAAATTAAATCCTTATCATGTTTGAATAAATAAAGAACAAGAAAAGGGGAATTAAATCCCTTCATTATGAAAAGACATCTGCTAGGGGTACATTTAGAAAGTAAGATATCATCTAATTTATTAAGGTAAGTTTTGGGAGGGTTAAAAGGATGACGATGTGATAAAATGGACAATTACAAACGCCTTTATCAAAATACACGTTGTGCAAATGATTGTAATGAATAATTTTTCGAGATGGCCCTCTTGTTGTGAACATGGTTGTTGCTCAATTCTGGGAATTTTTTGACGCCAAACAGTTGCTTGCGCCCTCATTGCAGGTTTCTTACCATCTTAATCCCTCTTTTCACTCTCATGCTAGCTGACAGCCTCTTGACCACAGGGTTATAAAATGCAATGTGGACGCCTCCTTTTTCCCAACATCCCATTCAGGAGGGGGAGGAGTGTTTTCCGAAATAGTGATGGTATTAGCATTGTTGTAATTTCATATTAAAAGAAAGAAAATAAGAAGACAATGCTTAGTTTAAGTTATATAAGAAGGAAGTTTTTTCTTACGTTGATGTGATTTAATAAAAAACTAACATGTGTTCTAAATTAAAAAATAAATCAAACATATTACCGTCCATTAACCTAGGTAGAATCCATGTTACATATACAAAATTACCCATTCACATTACACAATATCAAAACCCTAATATTCACAATCTTCTTGTTTTGCTAAGGTGAGCTGACTCGGCTGTTTGACTTTAGCTATCCTTTTTGGTTAACCGACAACAAGCCAAAGTAGAAGCCAATGTAGCAAAGCTTGAGCCATTTCTTACTTGGTCAAGCCACTCATAGACTGATGTCCCTCGTCAAATCAGGCCCCCTCTCTATCTCTAACCATATTTGGCCCGAAACACAGGGTCAATAATGATTCCATATATCCATCAACCACAGCCTATAATTTTAGTACATTGTACCATTTTAAAATTATCCAAACTAAGAAGGTAATGATAGAAAAATAATACCCTATATTTGTTTTGACTTTTTAAATAAAACAAGTAATTTGAGATTTTTAAAATAATAATAATAATAATAATGAACTATTAATATGAAATAGAAGAACTTAGAAAGTTAGTAACATCTTACTCTGTATTTGAATCAAACACTAATTTCATAAAAAAAAAAGAAAAAGAAAAAAGAATTGAATGCGTCTAACTCTTCCAAAATATCATTTTTATAATTTATATATATATATAAAACTAAACCGAATTTTCAAACCTATTTGTTTGGTTGGGTACTTGTATCATTATTCACTGTATCAAATGTACTATACTCAGATGGATTGGAAGTTTGGAACCCATCCATCAGACGAATTTAGAAACCCAATGACCTTTTTTGGGTAAGTAAATTATATACACTAATACACGCCCTCATAATTGAATACAAGGAAGAGGATACACCATTTTCAACCACTCATCAATGCTATGCTAATATTTATATTATTTGTTGATTAAATTCTGAGCTTTGGGGTAAGAAAAAGAGGACTGGGTCCATTTGTGGCGATTCGGGCGGCGGAGAAAGAAGACGATAATAGAGAGAGACGCCAAGGAATAGGGTCATTCTTTCTTCTTCGACTCTCTCTTATCATCATCTTCAACAAATGAGACCCAGACCTTTCCATATTCATGTTGATTTTCTTCTTCAAATCATTATCGATCTCATCGATTCATCATCATCATAGAGAACACGAACAATCAGCTGTTGGTAGTCTCTGATTTGTTCGGTCGCAAACCGAACCCTAAATCCGAAAGAAATTCAAACCGATTTGACTGACTCTTCACTGGCCATGCGACCTTGGTTCGCTGTGATCTCCCTCTCGAGAGAGGACTTGTTCAATTCCAAGCAACACTTGCAATCGTCTCAATCGTTTTCTCATAGTTTCAGTAATGGCCGCCGATTCTCATGGCCCTAGTCCCAAGGGCCTTCTCTGCAATGCTGGAGCTGGTGCCGCAGCTGGTACTTAATTGATTTTATTTTTATTTTTATTTTTATTTTTTAATTCTGTTTGGGTCTTGAGAAAATTGATGCAAACGAAACCACAAAAAAAAAATCCCAACTTTTATGTTATTTTTATCACTGTTTGATTCTTGATTCTGATTATTATTATTATTTTTTTAATTAGTGGTTTAAATTAATTTATTCATGTATTTAAGGCTTATGTTGGTTGGGAATTTGGTGCAGGAGTTATTGCAGCTACGTTTGTGTGTCCTTTAGATGTTATTAAGACAAGGTTTCAAGTTCATGGGCTACCAGCTGTCAACAATGGAACTATTAGAGGTACTCAATGTAACATTTTTGAGTACAATTATTCTTGAGTAATGAAAGTTATCCAAGCTAATAAACAATGTGACAAGAAAGTGACCAATAGGTAGTATCATGCGGGGATCATCTCATAGTTGCCTATTTGTCATCTTTCATTTGCATTGGTACGTCGGCCTAGTTTTTCACTTTATAAAAAAGTGTCCTTTATCGTTTGCTTTTGAAAAGTGGTTATGGTTTTTGAAAATTTACTTTTGGTGCATTCTTGGCATTATACATAATCAGTGTGGATTTAACACTTCATTGAGTTTACAGTGTTTTTATTGGGTATCAAAAACATTTTCCCCAATTATAACAAAGTATAATAGATGAGATTAATACCTGATCATATTTGGATTAAGTATATGTTAATATAAAACTTACTTATAAAAAAAAAGTATATGTTAATATAAAACTTGAGCAATGCCATTTAAAAAGTGCAAGTTTAATGTTGTTGCTTGTTGGCTTCATTGAGCATTGACAATTTTTCTTTCTTAAATCTATAATGGACGGGTCGTACTCTTCGACTTCTTTTTCTTTGATCAGGTAGTCTTATAGTTGGTAGTTTGGAACAAATATTTCAGAAGGAGGGGCTGCGCGGCATGTATCGAGGGCTTTCCCCCACTGTTCTTGCATTACTTCCAAACTGGGCAGTGAGTTGTAGTCCTTTCTAAGTTTTTGCATTTTACTTAGTGCTCATAGTTTATTGTGAGATGTGACATTTATAACCTCAAGATACATATTTCTTGGTAATTGAGATGTTAATATCTTATGCATGAGTTGGAAGAATGATGAAAAGGAAAATGAATGAAAATGCATGTGGTGGCCTAAAACAGGAAGTAGCCGTTCAGTTTTTTTCTTTACTTTCTAAGAATTGAATTTAGCTTAGAAAATTGGGAAAGGACTAGATCCTTAATTTTTGGAACTGTGAAAACAGTTTTTTTCTAAAGAAAATATTTTTCTAGGCTTGCCTCTAAATGGACAAGAATGAAATGGTGAATCGTGACCTGTTTAATTGGAACTTAATGTTACTACATGGGTCCTCACTCCCTTGTGGGTAACTTTTTCCTGATCCCCTTGACCCCATGCCTGCCTTTCAATGCCTTGCCAGCACTTCTATACCATAGGTCCTCACTCCATTGTGGGTAACTTTTCCCTGACCCCCTTGACCCCATGCCTGCCTTTCAATGCATTGCCAGCACTTCTATACCATTGTTCTATATCGGCTTTGGCAAGATCCCTTGTGGATGACTTCTTCCTAACTCTGTATTTTCTGGACACAATGTTTCATAATCAATTTATGATCCTCGGATTTCCTTACTGTTCAAGAATTTGCAATCCTCCATTGGAAATTCAAATATTTTAATAGTGTATTGGCACACTTGATAATGAAGCCGAAAGATTGAGAGGTATAGAAAAGGGGTGTTTGCCTTACAGATTAGATAAGGTTACTATTGCTTCCTAGTTGATCCCCCCACCAATGAATATTTTTTAAGCACTTGCTGACCTCCAGCGTTAGTTTCCAAAAATAGTCCTAAGGTATATCATCAATTAGATCAAGATATGTGAGAAGCCTGGGATGTGACAACAATAAAGGGCATTGATAAGGGGCAATAATCTATTGTGAATGAAGAATGAGTTACTTATGTACAGATAATTCTATAGCATTTGCCAAACTCTTTCTATCCATGCAACAAGTACATTACTGGTTCCCTTATCCAGGGCATTTATCTCACCATGTATTCTTTTATAGTTCATGAAATTTCTACCCTAGTTTCATAATTTTGAAAATTTATTCAAGTTCTGGGAGCTTCTTGATTTGATATTAATCATTCCCCTTGCATTCTTTTATCACAAAAAAGATACTGGTTCTCATTCGAAAGAGAAGAAGATGATATCGATAATATAGGGATGGTTTTCTTGTGTAAAGCATTTAACATTCCTTCGACACAGTTAATGGAATTTATGTTCTAAATATATTTGGCCTTTTGAAAATTTATTCAAGCCACAACAGCCTTTTGGTTTGACATGAATCATTCATTACGTGAACCCTCCCTGGTGGCACTCCGCGCGCACACACCACCCAGTGGTTTTATTATAGAAAAGAATGATTTATTAGTTTTTATTTCTCAAACATAAGATTTTCATGGGAGCGGGAGGCTGTTTCCACTAATTTCCTCGTCTGTGCTACACTGGAAACAATGATTTGGACCTCCCCGCCAATGCAATAGGCTTGAAAATTTGGGGCTAATGGAATCTTTAACTTCTGAATATAAGCTAAAAGTTCTCTATTCATCAATCATTTATATATATATATATATATATATTTATATTTGTGTGTATATCTATATGTATATGTTGTTATCAATATATATATGTGTGTATATCTATATATATGTTGTTATCAATATATATTTGCATATCTATATACATAATAATTTTTTTTAATAAGATTGTATATCTATATATATAATTTACATGTTAACATAAAGGGCTAGTCTATTGCACAAGGCTCATGCCATTGTGGGGTCTGGGGAGAGTTAGATGTACACAGCCTTGCGGCCCTTGCCTTTGCATGTGGAGAGGTTGTTTCCCGACTCGAACCCGTGACTTCCAGGTCATAACGGAGCAACCTTACCGTTGCCGCCAAGGCCCGCCCTCATAGTTAACTATATATATGTTGTTATGAAACATATATGCATATGTTTGATTCTATTTATCTAAGGGACTCATGTCTTTGATATTAAACTTGAAACCCTAATTCCCGACTTAGAGATTCAACGAGAATTTGATTCTTTCCAAATTAAACCTACTGCCTAATTTCAGTAATATTTTAACTCAATTTGATCATTACTATGCTGTGGGTATTTCCGTCATCTCTTTTCATTAGACGTCTTTATTAGCATAATGTTATCGTATGCAAGGGCAGTTTTGCAAAATCAAAATCATATTTACCTATGTGTTTGGGGGGGGGGGGGGGGGGGGGGGTGGTTCAGTTTTATTTATTTTTGGATTTAGTGAGGTTTAGTGTATACACTTTTTTGTGTTTGCGTGTGTGAGAGAGGGAGAGAGGCCTAACCTTTCACATTATTTGTACAAATTAGCTACTCTCGAGATTTCAATATGCATTCTCAGGCTCATGTTGGGATTGTATTTGTGTGCCTTTCAAAGCCATTTGAATGTTATTTTGAGATTTAGATTTAATGAAGTCTGATTTATTTATCTTCTACATATATGGTGAATGCTTATATTTGATTAATTCATGAGTTATGAATTAAGTGTCCATTAATTATGATAGGATGATTTATGTGCATAAGGAGGTGGCCCGTGCATACGATAAATAAATAATTAGTATTCATAATTATAAACTTGTTTGCATTCGTTAATAGAATTGATTTTTATTTTAGGAAGAATGTAATACATTGGTTTCCACTTGTTAGGGTGACTTATCTCAGTCATTTGAGTGTAAGACTGAAGACCATATGTGTTGGTATGTTGGACACATTGAACTGGATCAGGGATAAGTAGAAAAATTACTCGAGCCATCGTGATTAATTTTCCTTATCATTGCTAAAGCAAATAGACTCTTAATTCTGAGAGATTTATGGACTCTATTTTATGATCATGGTTACTTTGATTTACTCAAGCAACGTTCGGATTCGGGTCAAAACACTTGGGAATTTTGGGTAATTATTGATTACGGCTTTGGAACATAATTTTCAAGATGAAATACATGTGCTGTTTATATTTTGGTTAGGTTTGTTTAATCAAAACTCACAAGTTATATTTAATAAATAGTTTTCTTATTTATTTATTTATTAAATATATTATTTTTTGAAAATAAATTTATGTGATCAAATTGTTTATAAACCTAGTGGCCAAAATATGGTTGTCTATTGGATTGATGGTATTATTTATCCAAACAACTAATTAACATGGAGGGGTTAATTTGCAATATTTAGTAATAGTGACTTCTTTATTCATGTCTTGGGGAGTTGGGGTGCAATTATTTTTATTTAGTATAATTATCATGGGAAAGAGTTGGCAAGCCATTAAAATAGGCTCATTGAAGCCAAGACAAGGATGGGCCTATCTAGATCCCAATCTTAGTCAAAGAAGCATTAGGGTCAAAGTAGGAGAGGGAGGGGCGGCCACCCTTGTTGACACACAAGACACACTAATTCTTTCTCTCTCTCTCCTAAAACCCTAATTCTAAAGAGACTTGGAGTCCACTCTTCCATTGCTTGTGGATTCCAGACAAGGACATATGAGTGATGATTAAGAGGCGAATTGAAACTCAAGAATTAAAGATGGTCGATCAAGAATTCATTGTTGATAGTGATAGACCTCTCTTTTGGGAGGAGCTTTTCCATGTTCAGGGATTGTGGTCTCTTCCTTGGTGTCTGGGTGGGGATTTCAATTGTGTTAGGTCCCCGTTAGAGAGGTCCACAGGGGGAAGGTGGTCTTCGAACATGACTCAATTTTCTAATTTTATTGATGGGCATTTTGTCATTGATATGCCAATGGAAGGGGCAGCCTTTACCTGGTCTAATGGCAGAGACAGTTACCTTATCAAGGCTGGATAGGTTCTTGATCTCTAGGGAGTGGGAAGAGAAATTCCTGGATGCTGTTTAGGCGGTTTTAGCAAGGGTCACTTCTGATCATGTTCCTCTGGTTTTGGATTGTGGGGGATTGAGGTCTCGGTGCTCCTCGTTTCGATTTAAGAATATGTGGATGAGTGCGGAGGACTTCTAAGGGAGTGTTCGGTCTTGTTGGGAGGAAACAATGGTTACAGGTTCTTCTAGTTTTGTGTTAGCCAGGAAGCTAAGAGCTCTCAAAATCGACCTTAAGAGGTGGAATAAGGAAGTGTTCGGGAATCTTGAATGGAGGAAGAATAGAGTCCTTACTGATTTTTCTAAGATTGATCGTCTTGAAGAGGCGGGTGGGGATGTGGAGTCTCTACGCTCTAGGAGAGCTTCCTGTCAGGCGGTTCTTGCTGAGATTGCTAGTATGGGGGGATCTTATGGCGACCGAAATCTCAGGCTTTATGGCTAAAAGAGGGAGATTGTAATACAAGATTTTTTGACAGACTTGCTAATGCTCACTGAAGGAGTAATCATATTAACAAAGTTGTTAAAGGCGCGCCTAGGCTCCAAAAAAGCCCTAGGCTCGTCAAGGCTCAGCTAGAGCGCCTCAACCTACTACAGGCGAGGCCCCTTCAATCAGGCTCACATAAAGCCCTCAGGCTCACGCTTTTTAGTAGGCTCCAGGCTCAAAAAAGGCGCGCCTTGTATTTTTTAATCATTTATTTGTATCATTTTCTTGTTTACTTAATTACTACTAAATTAAAAGGTTCTATATCATATATCGTATTGTTTTAAACTTATGAAATATTTGACAAAATTCATAAATTTATGGTTCACTACTTACATTAACTGCAATTAGTGCTTGATTATGAATATATATAATGTTATATATTTAACTATGCATTATTTTATACTCGTGCCCTACTTCGATCAGGCTCGCGCCTTATACTGCGCCTTGCGCTTAGGCTCCAGAAGGCCTTTGGCGCCTTAGTGCGCCTTGAGCCTTTAACAACTACGATCATATAGGGCGAATCCAGGTGGATGGTATGTAGTTGTGGAGGGAGGAAGTGGTGCGCGATGGGATCGTTTCTTTTTATCAGAAGCTTTACACCGAGCCGTTAGTTTGGAGACCCAGGCTTGACGACCTCATTTTGAGGCTATTTCTGAGTTGGATAGAGATGGTCTTGAGATTCCTTTTTCCAAAGAGCAAGTCCTAAAGGCTTTATCAAGTTGCAATGGGGACAAAGCTCCGGGGCCTGATGGGTTTAATATGCGGTTTCTGATGGAAAGTTGGGAGGTGGTGAGAAACGAGGTGATGGGTACATTCCAGGAGTTCCATTCTCTTTGAGAAGTCATTAAATGCCTCCTTCATTGCTCTCATCCCTAAGAAGGGTGGTGCTTCTGACATTAAAGATTTTAGACCAATTAGCCTAGTGGGCTGCATTTGCAAGCTCATTGCCAAGTTCTTGCTCTTAAGATGAGGGATGTCATGGATGGGATTATTTTGTATTCCCAGAATGCCTTTGTCGAAGGACGGCAAATTCTAGATTCAGTTCTTATTGCAGGCGAATGTGTGGATTCTAGATTGCGAAGTGATGTTCCTGGAGTTTTATGCAAACTTGACATTGAAAAAGCTTATGATCATGTGAATTGGAACTTCTTGCTGTATTTGCTTCACAGAATGGGGTTTGGAAGTAGATGAAGGAAATGGATAGAGACATGTCTTTCGTCTGTAAAGTTCTCAGTTCTCGTGAATAGGTCTCCTGCTGGTTTCTTTGGGTGTTCTCGGGGTTTGAGACAAGGAGATTCCTTGTCGTCTTTCCTTTTTCTCATTGTAATGGAGGGATTGAGCAGACTTGTGAGGAGGGCAGAGGATCTCGGTCTTATCAATGGCTTTAGGGTGGGCAGAGATCTAGTTCATCAGTTGGAGATCTCTTATTTACTGTTCGCGGATGATACCTTGGTCTTTTGTGATTCTGATGTGCCTCAACTTAGATATTTGAGGTGCATTCTGGTTTGTTTTCAGGCGGTTTCTGGGCTGAAGGTCAACGTGGCTAAGAGCGTGCTTGTTCCGGTTGGGGATGTTCAGGACATTTCCTCTTTAGCCGCAATCCTTGGGTTTAGGGTGAACTCTTTTCCTATTCCTTACTTGGGTCTGCCTTTGGGGGTTTCCTCTAGGAGGGTGGGGAGTTGGGATCTTGTGATTGATAGGTATGTGAAGAGATTGGCAGGGTGGAAGAAGCAATATCTGTCCGGTGGGGGAAAGTTACTCTCATAAAGAGCACTTTATCGAGCCTTCGTACTTATTTTTTTTTATCTATGTTCCAAATTTCATGCTCTATTGCCGAAAGGATCGAAAAGATCCAAGTGGATTTCCTTTGGGGCGGAAGGAGCGAAGAGTTTAAGTATCATCTCGTCAGATGGGGGCAAGTGTGCAAGCCCCTGAAGTTGGGTGGTCTGGGTATCCGGAGGTTGGTTCCCTTTAATCAAGCTCTCTTGGGCAAATGGTTATGGAGATTCGGTAGGGAAAGGCATTGCCCTTGGAGAAGGCTTGTTTCATGTTGTTTTGGGGAGGAGAATGGCGGCTGGTCTACTCGTCCAGTCTCTATTGCGGGAGGAGTTGGTGTGTGGAAATTCATTCGGAAGGGCTGGGATGTTTTCTCTTCCCAAATCAGATTCAAAGTTCGTGATGGTAGATGGGTTCGATATTGGGAGGATTTATGGTGCGGTGACCGGCCATTATCTTGTACCTTTCCCAGATTGTACAGTATCGCAGTTGATAGACATGCCTGCGTAGCTGACTGTTATCGGCTTGATAGTAGTGGGATCACGTGGGACGTGCACTTTCGGCGTTCTTTTCAGGATTGGGAGATGAATGAGGTATGTGTTTTTTGGGATTTGTTGAATCAGCAGGAGACAGTTGGCAGAGGTAGTGATTATCTTACGTGGGTCCCCTCTTCCCAAGGTCGATTTGAAGTTCGGTCCATGTTTCTATGCCTCTCCAACTTTGATGGCCTTGATTTTCCATGGAAGACCATATGACGTTCTAAGGCTCCACCTAGAGTGGCATTCTTTGTTTGGATTGTTGTATGGAGCAAGATCCTGACGATTGACAATTTGAGGAAGAGAGGCAACTGTATTGTTAATTGGTGTTGCCTTTGCAAACGAGATGGTGAGTCAAGGGATCATATCCTCTTGCATTGTCCCGTGGCGCACGACTACTGGAACCTTATACTCGGCATATTTGGTATGCTTTAGGTAATACCCCGTTCTTCCAAGGGACTTATTAATGCATGGAGGGGATGTCGTGTGAGAAGCAGTGTACATGACTATTGGAGGATAGTTCCACATTGCGTGTGGTGGTGCATTTGGAATGAGAGGAATGGTAGAATGTTCAAAGGGAAGGAGTCGTCCTTGTCAACGCTGAAACTTCATATTATTCGCTCTCTTTTTAGTTACGTGAAGAGTAGTTCTTGCTCCTCTTCTGATGAATTAATCATTTTTTTGGATTCTTTGGGTCCTTAAATCCCTGTTCCACTTTTGTATAAGGGACGTGTTCCCCTTTTCTTCAATTATTACTTATCAAAAAAAAGAAAAGAAAAAGAATTCATTGTTGGTGTTCAAGAATTGAAGACTTGCCCCCTAGTTGACAATCTACCAATTGTCCAAGGCTCATATTAGTTTTCTCTCTAAAACATGATTGATTCATTGAAAAGAATTGGGGAAAATTTTTTGCTTTCGCTTTTAAACCCGTTTTCCAACAGCTCGACAATCCAGATTTCACCAAACTATGGCTTCTAAGAACTTTGTCATATCTGCCATTTTTATACGTACTTCATCATATCTTCTGGACTTCACAAGCTATGGTTCCTAAGAACTTCATCATATATGCAATTTTCATTACGATTATGTGGGGAGAGAGAGAGAGAGAGAGAGAACTTCAACATATCTGGAACTTTTATTGCAATCGTGTGTTGTATTGTTTGTCTTGGGAACGCTGTGATCCAACTTGTGGTACCTTTGGTTAAATTTTGAATTAGATGCTGTCTATGGCTTTTAAAATATTTTTCTCTGTATTGTATTTGATGACTCTTCCTTTTTTTTTTTTTTTTTCGGTTCTGTTATCTTTTACATGACCCCAATTTTGTAACTGTTTTGCAGGTTTATTTTACAATTTATGAGCAGCTGAAAAGCTTTCTTTACTCTGATGGTCAGTTCATGACCTACTATATCTGTTAGGAAACTAATTAAATATGAAATATGTTGCTTGTGTTATTGATTTTACCACCACCACAGTGTCAGTTTTTTTAGTGATATTCATTAAGTTAATTCTATCTTTAGATTGCGCTTAACGCGTATTTAGTTGATCTGCACATTTAGATGAGAAGCATCATCTCTCGATTGGTGCCAATATGATTGCTGCTTCTGGTGCTGGAGCTGCAACAACCATTGCCACTAATCCTATTTGGGTAGTCAAGACAAGGCTTCAGGTGTGCCTCAAATTCAAAACTTTGTAATTTGGGCTCATTTAAATATTATCTACTAGAATATAGCATGCACCAGAACTTGCTTATATTGAAGCCCCTATATTTATATATATTGTGTATCTGATTTATGTTCACCTTGTTGCATGACTGCAGTGTTAGAGAGCATTGTTTCCCTAGTTTCTTTGTGTTGTGGATAAGGTTTTGCTATCAGTTTTAGGACTTTTCTTTTCCCTGCTGCCATACCAATCTTAAAACATGAGTTTCATGGTTTAGATCTTAAAATTTATTACATATTACTTGAGTAAAAGTCTAAAAGAGGTTCCTTAAATTTATATGAGTAGCAACTTTGCAGAAAAGATAATGGAAAATAGAATGTTTGGTGTGGAAGAGAGTCAGGTTAGATGTATTGGTGATGTGTAGTAAGGACGATGAAAGTTTCAGTCTAGATGAGTAATCTGATTGGAGTTGAAAATCACTGCCTTCCAGGAGATGGCAAGAAGTTTGAAGTAGTGTAAAAAGATATACAATTGGACCTCTAAAGGTTTAGAAGGCTTAGTGTTCTGAAGGGAGTATGCATTAGGAAGGAGTACAGACTTATTTGTTCTTCCATGATACTTGAATTCACAGGAAAACATAATCAAAATTGTTAATATAATAGCTATCTCTTTAGTGTGGTAATAATATATTGGAAATGGTTGTGTAACTAACCCGTTTGAAAGGGATTTGTTAAAATTTCTGAAAAAAATCATCAATTATTCTTTCTGATGAGGACTTAACATCATTTGTTTGAGGAATTAGAATCATACTTTAGTGGTGTTGTATTACTTAATTTGGGAATTTAGCAGTAGTTAGAGACAAATTGATCTTTCCATGTGTGCTATGTTGGCTAAGAAGTACGAACACTTCTATAAGGTACCATGTCTCTGTCTGACGCTGTGTTGGACACATCCCCAGCAAACTCAACAACAGACAAAGCATTGCCTTTGCTGGACTGTAAGTCATCCATCTCCCTAACTCCAGGTTTCTCTGTCCTCAGATGCATCTCCGACCTCCAGTAAAGCTGACTCTTCAATTCTGTCCCCGAAACCAGCACAGTGAAGTTGCAGTTCTGCACGAAGAGCATCCGCAGAAGCTTTACCAATCCAATACATAGAACCGCATTCCCATTATTCCTACCTCTTGAAAGAATCTTCATATGTAAACTCTTCATTACAGCAGAATCACCACTAAAACAAGAGAGATGAAACTGACAAATTCTCACTATCTTCCTCTGAACAACCCTCAGAGGCCATTTCATAAAAAAGGTGAAAGTCTCCGACTCAACACCCACCAAACTCCCCATCAAAAGTCCTCAACACCCCACAAGAAGGAGAAGAATAAGGGATAGAGGTCTGAGAGATAGGGCCATAAAACATACCAGGGTGACTGGAAGAAGCAGACGAATTCACCCATTTCTGTTTCTGTTTGCGAGACCATCTTCTACCTTTTGACCGGAATGGTTGAGCATATGAATATCGCATCGACTTAGCACTATCCTTTGTTCGATCACCGGTCGGGGTGACTGGGAGAAGCAGAAGATTTCACCCATTCCTGTTTCTGTTTGCGAGACCATCGTCTAGCTTTTGACTGGAATGGTTGAGCATTTGAATGTCGCATCGACTTAGCACCATCCTTTGTTCAATCACCGGTCATCTCTTCGCTGCGTCAATGGCACTGGATCTCGTTATTTTTCAAGTCATGAGCCTCATGTACAGCAATGAACGGGCTGTGGTCAATCAATCCCAGGAAGAGGCCCGAATGAGTTTCTTAGAGTAGGCCCAAAAGATTGAGCCTTCAATCGTCTTGATTGATGCCCACTAGGCTTTGAAAAATCTTTGGGCTTCCTTACCAGTCTTGAAAAATTATTCGGCTTCCTTATTGTGATAGAGGGTCTTAGCACAATGATGGCAAGGGCTGTGGATTTGGGTTTTATGAGAGGCTTGAGGGTGGGCAGAGATGTTGCTAGCCAGTTGGAGATTTCTTATTTGATGTTTGCTAATGACATACTGGTTTTTTGTGACGTAGATGAATTTCAGATGAGTTTCTTGAGATGCATTTTGATTTGGTTTCAAGTGGTCTCTGGTTTAAAGGTGAATGGGGGGAAGAGTTTGTTGGTGCCTGTTGGGGAAGTTCCTCAGATTTCCACTATAGCTAACACTTTGGGTTGCAGTATTGGTTCTTTACCCATTACCTATCTGGGATTGCCTCTTCGGGCTCCATCCAAGAGAGTGGGTAATTGGAACGAGATTTAGAACAGGCTGGCCAGATGGAAGGAGCAATATCTTTCTAAAGGAGGGAGGGTTACTTTGATGACAAGCACTCTCTAGAGTCTTCCTACTTATTTCCTATTCATTTGTTAGATTCCTTCTTCTGTGGTTGACATAATTGAGATGTTACAGCGGAACTTTATGTGGGGAGGTAAGGGGGAGGAGTTCAAGTTTCATTTGGTTAGATACTTAGATGGGAGCGTGTCTGCACTCTGATTCGAAAGGGAGGATTGGGTATTAGAAGATTGGTGCTGTTTAATAGGGCGTTGTTAGGGAAATGGCTTTGGAGATTTGGGGTTGAGAGGCACAAATTATGGAGGAGGGTGATTGTGAGCAAAAATGGGGAGATGAGAGGGGGTTGGTGCTCTTCTGAGGTGAGACTTCCAAGTGGAGTTGGGGCCTGGAAATTTATTCGGAAGTGGTGGGATGAATTCTTCAAATATATTAGGTTCCGAGTTAGGGATGGTAGGGGAATTCGCTTTTGGGAGGACATTTGGTATTGTGATCATTCTCTTGCACTCGCTTTGCCTAGACTATTTCGGATTGCTTTAGATCGTTAGACTGTTGGTTGACCACTATCACCTTGATAGTGGGAGAACAACATGGGATGTTCGAGACATTTTCAGGATTAGGAGATTGAGGATATTATTGGCTTTTTGGAGCTCTTAGATTGCCAGGAGATCATGGGAGGTTTTTTTGACTCTTGGTTGTGGCTTCCCTCTTCTCAGGGTCATTTTGATGTTAGGTCTCTTTATTGGTCTCTTTGGATACTTTGAACCCCCCTCTTCCGTGGAGGGCTATTTGGTGTTCGTAGGCTCCTCTCAAAGTGACGCTTTTTTGCATGGACATCCATTTTAGGGAAGATTTGACTCAAGATAACCTATAAGGAGAAGGAGACAGATTGTGATTAACCGGTGCTTTATGTGCAAGCATGATGATGAAATGGTTGATCACCTTCTTTTGCATTGCCCAGTGGCGCTAGATTGTTGGATTTTGATGCTGGGTTCTTTCGGGTTTCAGTGGGTTATGTCGAGGTCTTTTAGATGTTTGATTGAGGCTTAGAAAGGTTGTACAGTGGGGGTTCAAGTCCGTGATTCCTGGAGGGTTACACCTTTATGTGTTTGGTGGTGCATTTGGCTTGAGAGAAATAGAAGAACTTTCGAAGGAAAGGAAAATCTCGCCGGGGGGGGATGAAATTGTAAATCCATAGAGGAGTTTGTTGATCTTTTGGCTTCGAGGGTTTTGGCCTTTTGTAGCTTTTGAGGGATGCGTTCCCCTTTTGAACACTCTTTAATACATTATTTACTTACCCAAAAAAAAAAAAAAAAAAAAAAAATAACATTAGGATCCCCGGAGCCCAACGGCACGCGTGGCTAACCCAATTGTGAGTTATTGATCACATTAGGCTTAGACAAATATGGGCCATGCATTTTAGGCTTGTAAGTTGTAAAACCTTTGGGCCCAGAACCATTAACCACAATCTTGTGACCAAAAGGCCCAGCCCAAGCCTGCTGGTTAAAAGAATCATGTGAGCTCCACGAGCGAGAAGGGTCACGCGTCGCATATTTAAAATTCAAATCCGTCCTTCCATTGATAGCCACCACACCCCCCCCCCCCGGCGCGCGCGCTTGTAAGTTGTAAAACCTTTGGGCCCAGAACCATTAACCACAATCTTGTGACCAAAAGGCCCAGCCCAAGCCTGCTGGTTAAAAGAATCACGTGAGCTCCACGAGCGTAAAGGGTCACGCGTTGCATATTTAAAATTCAAATCCGTCCTTCCATTGATAGCTCCCCCCCCCCCCTCTCCTCTGGTGCAAAGGATAGGATAAGGCATCCTCAACTCTCCATGTGACCCACCAGACTTTGGACCAAAGTCACCAAACTCTCTCGTGCGGCGAGCGCGTTAGATCCACGACAACTTCTTCCAGCGCGACTGAGTTCCCTCCACAAATTCTAGCCCCCTTCGACATTGAAACTCCTTGACTCCTTTCTTTCCCTTCGATATCATTTTCCACCAATGCTCCTCCTTCAACAGAAAGGAACCATCCCCTCCTTCCAGACTTGCCGTTGTTGGTACAAGCTCGGGAAGAGTAGTTCTTTCCACAAAGCCACTTATAAGAGAGGCGATCATCATGGACAAAGATCACCGGGCATTCACCTCTATCACTCATCGTGATATGCACAAGTACGGGATTTCTCGTCTCATTGGCTTCCACCCAAACAAAACCTCCGCACAAATCCCCAACAGTGACGAAAAGATCATGGCACCAGAGGTGGAGGGGAGGGCCATACAGAACAGCCCTTTCCATCCCCTTCTCCTTCAACACACTTGAGCATCCCACCCTAAAACACCAACTATCCACATGAAGCGTGGCGCCGGAGTCTCGACGTCCCTCCCTCAACACCCTTTTGGCTTCAGCGCTTGAAGGGAGATTAAAAAGGAAAAGAGAGTCTGGCAATGGCGCCACACCAACTCCACATGAGATACGCCAAGCATGGCTGGCCCAATCTGCAATTTGATCTCCATCAACATCTTTGTCAAAATTTCCCACCAAACACACCCTAAGGTTCTCTCTTTGTTTCTCAACAAAGTGATCATCCATGTAGATTGAGGGGCCTCTGTGAGGATTTGCTGCCTTAACAGTACCCCCCTGAAACAGATGAGGCAACCTTGCAATCTCAAGAAAAGAGATAGAT